TTGAAGCTCAACATCAAGAAAACAAAGATTCTCACCACTGGGCCAATTGGCAGCATCAGCATGGATGGTGAAGAGATTGAGATAGTTAAGAGTTTGAATTTGCTTGTCTCCACAATCAACACTCTTGGTAACAGCAGCCAGGAAATCAAGAGATGAATAGCATTGGGAAAGTCAGCTGTGAGGGACCTCTCAAAAGTACTGAAGAGCAATGACGTCAGGCTGGAGACTAAGGTGCGCCTGATCCGGGTTATAGTCTTTGCAATTATGTGCTATGCTTCAGAGTTGGATAGTGAATAGGGTTGATAGAAAGAGAATTGATGCCTTTGAGCTTTGGTGCTGGAGAAGAGTGTTGAATATACCCACAGACTGCTAGGAGAACAAACAGGTTTGTCCTGGAGAAGGTGAAGTTGGAATGCTCCTTGGAGTCAAGGATTCTGAAGTTTTGTGTGACATACTTAGGGCATGTTGCAAGGAGGGACTGGTCCTTGGAGAGGGACATCAAGTTTGGCAGAGCGGAGGGACGGCGAAGGAGAGGAAGACCCTCAATGAGATGGATCGATTCTGTGACTGTAGCAGTGGGAATAAGTGCATTTGAGATGGCTAGGCTGGCACAGGTTAGAACAGCGTTTAGAGCTCTTGTACATAGGGTCGCTATGAGTCGCAAACAACTTGATGGCACATAACAACAACAAAAACAATGGCAAGCACTAGAAACACAAGCTGAATGGAAAAAAAGTTGGGTTTATTTTCTTCTTGCTTTTACCCTAAAGGTGAATTGCCATTTCCCTGTTAATAATTTTTGTCAAACATTTGCTGGCTTTACTACATTGCAAATCAATTCTTTACTATCACACAAAAAAACCTCTCATGTTTTACAAATCTGTTCACATATCACACTCTCTGAACCAGGCTTAATGAAGAAGGCCAAGCAAAACTATTCTCTTAGCTCTATTTTATTTATGAGAAATTCATTTTCTGAAAGTAGCATGACTCATTTATGGTTTCACAGAAAGTGAATGGCTTTAAGCCTTTCCCAGGTTTATTTCCTAGTTTGCTCACTAAACTTTACAGGCAACTGAAGTCCTATCTGAAATTCTTTTATTACTCAGTTGCATATTGGTATCCCTGCCCATGAATATAATTAGATACCACTTGAGATGTATTTTTCTGGGGAAAGAAATATATTTTCTTGGTACCAAGTTTTCAGATTCCTAGAAAACTCCAGTTGTTCTTTCTACACTGTTTGGTTGATGATAAAATGGTATAAATCAACAAAAGTTGGAGTACACCAACTTTTGAAAAGTAGAATCTTGCAAGTCTAGAATTGTGATAAGTGGTGTTGTTCTCCTCCAATAAGCTGTTATTCTAAAATACAATTAAAAACCATTATCAACTTGGTAAGTATGGTGACTTTGCAAAATATCTTCAGTTATAAGAATGACATTATTTCAAAGAACTCACAAAAACAAAGAAGATGCTGAACGTCAATTTTCTTTGAGACACTGCTACAACTAATTAAAAACTTGGCTAAGGGGTATCTTCTACAAAGGCTTAAGTGTAAATAAGAAAGTAATAAGAAGTACCATATATTTACACAAATAACACACAGATTATAGATTACATATTAACAACACCCTCTTAACCTTTCTTCTCCATGTATTAGTTTCCTATGCACACAATAATGTGATAGCAAAAAAATACAGTACATTCTTTTACTATCATTTCCCTATACAAAACAACAAATACTAAAATGTTCAGGGGGAAAAGGTCTATACTTACCTCAGTAATTGGTTGCCCCTGATGTGTCAAATCCAGTTCTTGAGGGCGTGTTACTTTATCAATATCCAAAGAGTCCATGCTAGAAGTCGCAGAAGTGATGCTTGAACGGGAAGAGTTGCTAATAGAGTGTACGTCAGCATCACTCACGGTGCCTGCTGATGCTGTTCTTCTATGCTGATTTGTGACTAGGGGTTTGGAATCTTCTAATACTGATTGTTGAGCAGCTTCATCCATGCTCAAGGAGGCTTGTTCTAACTGTGCAGTGATGTCATCCAGAGAGTAGTTGGCATGTGAAGGTTTAGTAATCCTATTAGATGAAGAAGACAATCCTTTCAAGGTGCCATGTTTTGATGTATGCCGACTAGGTAACTTCTGAGTAGCTTTTATTTCTGTAATCTGATGCTTAGTATTTCCTGAACCAATACTGCTGAGCTCCTGCTCTATGGAGCAAAGGTCGGCCATCAGGGCATCCAGATCCACAGTCTCTCCCTGATTCAGAGCTTCTACAATGAAAACACACACACAATGTTTCTGGAACACAATGAATTAAAACTGATACATTCTACCCATTTCTAAAACGGCTTGCCTCTGGAAACTCTATGAACAGTACTTAGGTCTTTCATTCATAGGGTCCCTATGAGTCATTTACGACTTGATGGCACTTAACAACAACATCAACATGACGAGTCAGAATCATCCTGACAAGCAATGAGTTTGGTTTAGTCATAAATCAGTCAGTAAATGCAAGTAAAGAAACAAAAGATTTCACCCCATCAACTTTATACCAAAGTTAACTCAATAGAGTATTTGTAAAAAGCTTTGTGTTTGCTGTAAATGCCAAAAAAATTTAGAAACTATTCATTTTTAAAAATTTTTTTAGTAAGCAGAGCATAATTATGAAAGATAAAAAGAATGTAAAAATCTGACACTGCTCCCCAGTTTTAACCACATCTCCCATGCAACTTTTTACCAGAATCTCTAATAAGCTGTGAATATGACCAGCATCCTTGTAAAGATATTCAGATTGGCAGAGAAGGGAGAACATAAAAACTGGTGTATAAAAATCTGGAAAAATTTTAAAAAAAAAAAAAAAGTGGAAAAATCAGACCAGAACTTCAACTCCAAATAGGGCGGGGATTACTAAGAGAGTACACATAACATAAAGAGCATAACGACTGATTTTAAAATGACTGCCTGTAATGGCACTAGACTTTAAGGTCAATAAAGGAGAAAAAAAATCAACCCATACCCAAAGCACCAATGCAGTCATTATAACTCATGTAGAAAAAGATGTCAATTATTTTCTTTAACAACTTGAGTCTGTAGTATACATAAATCAAGAAATATGAGGATTCAATTGTAAAAATAGACACAGTTTTTATCTTGAGCTACTAGGAATTATAGCTGCATTGTTTCTATGTGATTGATATGACTTAGCAATCCATTTTACATTTATTTCCAATTACATCTTACCATTCAAGTTGTATACGGAAAAGCGGTAAGAAAAATTGGCCATGTTTGTTTCCCGATGAAGAGGAGGTCTTTTTACTGGTTCTGTGGGCTTGTCAGTATCCAAACTCTTAAAAGAAAAAGGGGGGGGGGAAATGAACATTTAATAGGTAATGTATTAAAAATCAGATTTTAATTACATATATAAGTGAGTAAAGTTTGTTTTATGATTAAAATGAATTATCATATAGTTAAGGAAGGGAGAATAGTAAGACTTGGTCTCATGTACTTCAGACACATTATCAGAAGCAACCAGGACCTGGAGAAAATAACCAAGCTTGCAAAGCAGAGACTCAGAAAAAAAACAGAAAAAGACACTTGGCAAAACAGACTGACAGTGGCGGCAACAAAGAAGCAAACATGGCAATGATGGTGAAGATGATAGAGAACCAGGCAGTGTTTTGTACACAAAGGTGCTGTGAGTCAGAGCAGCCTCAACAGCACTTGCCAAAGTTTTTCTAAGTAAGAACATTAAGGAAAGGTATAATTGGTTTTCACCAAATTCTGATTATAGTTATTTCAGTTTTTAGAAGTATGCTTTTAAAGCATATAAACACTTGAGGCTATCATAATTCAGGGCAAATTTTGTCTCAAACACATACTACACAGAAGACAATGACTTCACTTTATATGCTGTTGCTGTTGTTGCTAAGTGCCATCAAGTTGACTATGACTCACATGGACTCTATGAACAACAACGGATCCTAACCATGACCTATCCCGAGACATCCTCATTCTCTCGGATACACTTGCGCCCACTGATATTGTCAATCTGTCTTTTTGAGGGTCCTCCTCTCTTTGAATAACCCTTCACCTTACTAAGCTATGTATACGGATACGGTATGATAAGAGGTAGAAAAGAATCATGCCGAGAATTTTCTCGCTCCTCAAACATATTTGGTTTTGGTTCAGCCCAGTCTCATTTTAAGCATGAAGTATATTGAAGGTAAGGAACCGTTTTGGGTTCAAAATTAGCAAAACTCAATAACTTAACAGAGAATGTCTACACCTTCAAATAATGATGGAATATCCTTGTTCTTTTTAAATCTTATCAAGCCAAGTCACCCAAAGTCTGTCTTGAAACAAGGCTACAATTAAACTATTCTTCAGGGAAAGGATGACTTCTAAGTTATCTCACTGCCTTTTTAATGACACTTTTCTAACTTTTTACAACAAGAAAAACAAGATGTTTACTACAGAGAAATTCAGGGAAAAGGCCAGAAATTATTCAGTGTCAAGTCATTCAAATGCATTTGCAAAATAGGACTGATGTCTTATACTTTCTATTTATAATTATATAAAATGTGAATATAAAAAATATATATAAATTGAAAACCAATTAATTAAAACTATAAACAGATTCCTATTTAATACTATAATATACAGCGCTTAATAGACTTACTCTATTTGCAGAATCATGGAATTAGATAAAAATCCTATTTACACAGAGAGCTGTTGTTGTATACCATCAAGTAGAACCGACCCATAGCTGACCCTGCCGCGGATTTTCAGATGCAGTTAATCACACGGGAAGAGACTGCCCATCCTTCTGCAGAACAGCTGGTGGATGCAAACCTGGTATGTCTTCCGGATTGCAGTACAGCTTCTTAGAGGCGCTAGGCCACTAGAGCTCCCTACACAGAGAGCACCCATTCTATTTTTAGACATCAAAGGAAGGAGATCCACAACCCCTTCCATAATTTATTTAAAAATTTCCCAAAACACTCCTAGGAGGGTCTCCTTTAATCTCAAACCTGACCTTCCTGCTACAATATGAAACCTAATCCTACTCTAAGTAGAAACAGGAAAATAACAGGGTTTTGTATAACTTTAATATTTCTATGAATTCAAATAAACAAAGATATAATTACACAGAGTGTACACAATGAGGGCCAACAAAGAAGAGTGAAAAATACTCATTGGTGAAAAATAAATTAGGAATGTAGTTGTTGTTAGGTGCCACTGAGTCCACTGCTACAACGCAGCTACTCTATGAAAACCAGATCTGAACCTTGCCCTATCTTGCACCATCCTCACTATTTCTGATATGCTCAAGCCCCCTGGGAGAGTCAATGTGTGTCATCCATCATGTTGAGGGTAGTCCTCTCTTCCTCTGGTCCTCAACCTTTTCCAGCAGGATGTGTTTTCCCAAAGACCAGCTCCTTCTGACAACATGCCCAAAGCATGTGAGGATGAAGGGTCACCCTGGTTGCAATTCCTCCAAGACAAACTTGCTTATTTTGTCAGTCCATGGGATATTCAGTAATCTTTTCTAAGAACTCAAATCAAAAGCCTCGATTCTTCTTCTGTCATCTGTAGTCATTGTCAAATTTCAAATGCACAGCAAAAAACTGAAAAGACCATAGTTCAGAGCAGTGCATCTTTAAGTCTTTAAACTGACATATATGCCCTTTAGCACTTTAGGGAGGTCCTTGACTGCAGATTTTTCCAGTGCAACACATCTTTTGATTTCTTGACTGCTGTTACCAAAGGTAATAATGTGGATCCAGGTAAAACAAAATTATCAACCTCAATTTTTCTCTATCTATCTATCTATCTATCACAATGTTGCCTACTGGTCAAGTTGTGAGGATATCTGTTTTTCTGATGTTGAGACGTAATCCAACTCCTTGATCTTTTGCAGCTAGTGCTTTGCTTTCATTTTCAGAAAGCAAGGTTGTATATTCTTCTTCATATAATCCAGTTTCTTGAGTGACCTGCTCAGGATACCAACTAAATAGGTATGGAGAAAAGATACAACCCTTAGATATATTTTTCTTGATTTTAATCATGCAATGTTCTCTTGTTCTGCTCAGACAATAGGTTCTTGTTCTAGGTACAGGTATAGAATGAACAGTTAAGAGTTCTGGGATTCACATTCTTCTCAATGTTGGCCATAATTTGTTATGATCCACACAGTCAGATATCTAGCTTTAACTGCTTTGGATTCACTGAGCATTTGATTTAAAACCTATTAATCATCTCCCAGAAGAATGTACAAGTATACAAGGTTTTACAATATTCACTAATCACTTAAACCTAAATGTGCTTTAATATAAAGGGAGCTCTGGTGGCCTAGTAGTAAGGAGCTGAGCTGCAAAACCTACGGCATATGGATTGAATCTACCAGCTGTTCTGAGGGATAAAGATGGACAATCTTTTCCCATGCGATTCACTGTCTCTGTAAATCCATTGGAAGGTCAGCTGTGGGTCAATTCCGACTCCACAGTACACAACAACAACAACAATAACAACGCTGATGTACCTTGCATAGATGACAGTCTGAAGTAGAATACTAAAGTAAGTAAGAAATGTAATGATTAACTCATCATTTAAAAAAATGTTTTCCAAAGCATAAAGGCAACAACTTGTGAGCTACACCACACAACAGTTTTAAATTGGCTTTGTGTCTAATGGTAGGATTTTATAATATTAACCATAGACAACTTTTTGGTGAGTCTTTACATTCATGTCAAGAAATATAAAAGAGGAGGAGGATATGCTAACAACTGCCAGTTTTTGTCCACACATTTAACACTGTAATTTGAACTGAAATCCAGGGAGGTTTTATGTGTTTTGTCTAGTGTGCCAAGGAAGCAAAATTTTAAGGTTATAAACCAGCAAAAGGGTGATCTATGGTGGAGAAATACGAATTTCCTAGTCAAACTAGAACACTGGCCTGATACCCACTAACAGTTTCTTTTTGGGGTCCTTTTCTAATTTAGACAACAAAACCACACATTGCAGAATACCCCAACAAGTCAGTGTCTGTCCACATTTTGTTTCATGTGAGCTGTTTACGCTTCCCTTTCTTCCTAGCACAGAAATATATTGTGCACTATCCCTATTTTATATCCTTATCATCTTTATGTCTATTTGTTAAAATTTTAGTACACAGAGATGACTCCAAATTCTCAAGCAGTTTTTTAAAAACACTACTTCTAACCTGAGTTAATTTGTCCAGCTCCCCAAGCCAGGCTCCAAACATTTTGTCCAGGTCCTGATCTTCCTTGTCACTGTCTTCTTCAGCACCATGGTCAATTTCTTCGTCTGATAGCTGCTCCATCTGAAATAGACATTTGTGTAAAATGAGTGATTAGAGGTTACATGCCAAGGGAGTAGCAATCAATTAATCTATCAGTAAATGTGGGAAATACAGTCAGTGTGCCTTACTATTAATTTCACTCTGTCCCTTACATAACTCAAATGGAACTTGCTTTTATGAAACTATATGAAAACCCTCATAATATAAAAGGCAGTGTAGAGTTGTCATTATAACCTTTTTCAACAGTGAATAAGGGTTCTGGTTTCTCTGCATCCTCGCCAGCATTTGTTGTTTGGTATTCTGTTAAATTTTGCTAATCTTACTGGGGTAAGATGATATCTCATAGTTGTTTTGATTTGCATCTCTCTCATAGCTAGGGATTTTGAACATTTTTTCATGTGTTTGCCCATTTAGCACAGTTTCACTGTTGTTGGTTTTCTTGTCCACTCCAACAATGATGAAACTGTGCTAAATGGGTAACAGAGATCTGTAATGGAAGCAAAAAAATAGAATGTAGTTTAACTCAGTCTGAGAAGGGGGTCAAAGGAAGTGCTTCAGTAAAGATCAGAAGAACAAAGACAGACAGGAAGTCTCAGGTAATGAGATTAGGATACACAAAAGAATAAAGGTTTAAGAAAGAAAGGTATTTTCCAGTTTCCTTCTTCTGCAGAGCCACTGGTGGATTTAAATATTCAATCTGTTGATTAACAGTTGAGAGAGGAACCCATTATACTACCAAGGCTTCTACTGAAATGTTACGTGTGCCATCACGTTGGAATCAACACACAGATGATGCTTTATGGAGTTTTCAGAGGCTGTTAATTGTATGGAAGGACACTGGACCTCTTTCTCCAGTGGAAGAGCTGGTGGATTTCAACCACATGATTTTGGGTTGGCAGAGTATATCCTTACTAAGCCACCAGAGTTTCCTTATAGAAAAATATCCCCTAAACCCACAAAAACATTATGTAACATTGTTATTGATTGCCGTGGAGTCGAGCACAACTCTTAGCAACCTTATGAACAAAAAGCCTAAAGACTTTCTATAACTATCGTCATTTATCAAAGTTCATAGTTTCCAGAGGCATGTTGGTTAGAAGTGGATGCCACTCCTGCTTCCAAATGTATAATTTAACATTAGTATCCTGTGGTTATCGTACTCCAATTATCCTTCCTTTTAGAGACATGTTTTCACAGTTAAGAATTTTAAAGTTATTTAAAAACACCTACTAGTCTGATAAATAATTCCAGAGAAAAATGAGCTCCAGAGAAATGAGGAGAGAAAGACTTCCAGGTTCAAGAAGTGCCCCCAACTGTGTGTGCAAGATGCTACTGTTGCAAAATAAAAGCAAGAGGAAGGAAATCTCTACCAGACAAAAAGAAACAATAAGGGAAAAAAACTCTGTTAAATTTAATCACACACAGAAAAAGAGGAAGAGAGCCCATAAAGAGGAGAGAGGAAGTTTGAGCACAGAAGAAAATAGAAGTAGGATACAGCATGATGTAAGATAAAATGAGACCTTTGTGAAATGTTGGGCCACTAACTACTAATCTGAATGGTCTGAATTCACTCAAGTTTGTCTTGACCTACACCTCTATAATTTTAACAAAGGCCTTTTAAATCTGCTATGAGCAAAATGGTATTGAAAACTGCCAAAATGGGTGAAGATGGGGGAGAAATAAGCAGCTTTAAATGGCTGAAAAAGAATTTGCATGAATTTTTGAATTAAGACATTGGTCACACAAAAAAAAAAGACATTGGTCACATGTATATAACACCATTTTGATCAGGTTTTTTTTTTCTTTTAATATTGTTAGATCTTTATATATATGTGTGTGTATGAGTTTAAGGCACTACAAAAACTTTTACTCTTTGTTATCAAGCATATAACTTTCCCACTGCTTTATATGGTGTACTATTCTCTATGCATAAATCAGATATTTTTCTATAAATTGTTAGTGCAGGAGTGGCATCCACTTCCTAAACAACATACCCGGAAACTCAATGAACTTGATAAATGTTGACTGTTGTATAGGGGCTTCAGGCCTTTTGTTCATAGGGTCACTATGGGTCACTCTCGACTGGAGAACAATCAACAACAATTCATGCTTTTACACAGTTATTATATATTATCTAGGCAGCTTAGTTTGGCATCCCATGAAGGCTAAGAATATCAAGTTTCTCCCTAAAATTTTCATTTTTCCATTCCTCACAAGGTTTATGTTCCATACATAATCAGATTCTTTTCCTGAGTTTCCATGTGTACCTATTTTTAATAATTTTCTAATTTCTGTTCTTAATTTTAAAAGCAGATTAATGAAAGCTAAAGTAATAAATTGAAGTGTGCTCTTTGTACATCCAGCACAGAAGGACATTAAAAAATAATAATGTATTTCCTCAAAATATAGGTTTGTGTATGCACGCTACCTTTCCTGAAGTACATTTGCCTAGCTTACTAAATTAACATTTTAACTCTAATTTTTTCTTAATTAAAACTTTAATGTCTTAAAAAGAATTATCAGATAATTCTTTCTACAAGGTAAATGATAATTTCTAAACTTCAGAGGAAGAAATCAAGTAACTAACTTTTTTAAATTGGTTATTGTGTTTTTTCCGCCACCTTGGAGCCCGTGAAGGCCTCCTGGAAGCAGGACTTTTAAATCACAAAGATGGCTGGGAGGCCTTGGTGCAAAGCCACTTTTGCTGGCTCTAAAGGAGGTCTCCGGAACCAGAGGGAGCACACAGCTCTTCTTAAAATTGAAGGTGTTTATGCCCAAGATGAAACGGAATTCTATTTAGGCAAGACAAGTGCTTAGGTTTACAACGCAAAAAATAATACAGTGACTTCTGTTGGCAAACCAAATAAAACCAGAGTAATCTGGGGAAAGGTAACTTGTGCCCACGGAAACAATGGCATGGTTCAGGCCAAGTTTCGGAGCAACCTTCCTGCTAAGGCCATTGGACACAGAATCCGTGTAATGCGTATCCCTTGAGGATTTGAACTTATTGGAAAGCAAATAAAATTCTGGATTTGTGTTAAAAAAATGGTTATTGTCAAGTCAGTCAGAATTAAATCAGAATTCAGTCACAAATCAAAGGTTAGCACGTAATCAAAGAGAAAGACTACACAGAGACTTCAAGTTGGATTTTTAAGAAAGATGCTTTAGTTTTGAAAACGCCTGATGTAAATGTAAGGGAGTAAATGTTTATATCTTTTATTATTCTTTAACATATTTCCTAACCTCTTGTCAACAGTCAGCTACTAAATACTAGAGCTAATCAAATATCCTCCACCCAACAACATTCCTAGACAATATCTGCTTTCTATTTACTTTATCTCTAAGTGTAAAATTTCTTTATGATTTTTTAAAAATTTGTGTGTGTGTGTGTGTGTGTGTGTGTGTGTGTGTGTGTTTGTGTGTACCATCAAATTGGATCTGACTGGTACAGGAGGAGATGGTCCCTCCTTCTCCAGAAGAGCATCAGGTGGATTTGAACTGTGTACCTATGGGATTGCAGTGCAGTTTCTTGCCACTAGGCCACCAGAGCACCCTTAAATTTCTAAGAAAAGTCATGTTGAAACTCATTACTGAGAGAAGATATATTCAATACTGTCCTCTATATAATCAACTATACAATCAAAATTCACATTGATAAGCTGGAATTCTCACAAAGCGTAATTGCTAGTCATCAATGCTAGTGAGGCTGGAGACTAAGGTGCGCGTGATCCAGGCTATAGTCTTTGCAATTACGTGCTATGCATCGGAGAGTTGGACAGTGACTAGGGAATGATAGAAAGAGAACTGATGCCTTTGTGGTGCTGGAGAAGAGTGTTGAATATACCATGGACTGCTAGGAGAACAAACAGGTTTGTCCTGGAGAGGGTGAAGCTGGAATGCTCCTTGGAGTCAGGATTCTGAAGCTTCGTCTGACATACTTTGTGTATGTTGCAAGGAGGGACTGGTCCTTGGAGAAGGACATCATGTTTGGGAGAATGGAGGGACGGCGCAGGAGAGGAAGACCCTTGATGAGATGGATAGATTCTGTGACTGGGGTGGTGGGAACGAGTGTGTCTGAGATGGCGAGTTTGGAACAGGACAGAACGGCGTTTAGGGCTCTTGTATATAGGGTCACTACGCGTTGCAAGTGACTCGACGGCACATAACAATAACAAGTGCCAGAATAAGATTTTTTTCTGATTCTATGCCCTCTTTTTTATTTCCATGACCACAATCTTGATTCAGATCCACACATCTTCATCCTCATAATTCCAGCAACTTCCTAAGGGATCTCTCTTCTTTAATTCATCACTGTCAGACTAATCTTCCTCTTTAAAGGCTCCATATGCAACCTTATTTTCCACCTTTCAATCAGCCTAAACTACTAGTCTTCAAAACCAAGCCATCTTTCCCAACTTAGCCATTGTTCATGGTTTTCAACTTGACTGCAACAATCTCAACTTACAGAGTAATTATGGCTTGCATGTCTCTCTGCCCTCAAAATCTTACCAAAATAACAGTAAGTAACTAGAAGAAAGGATAAAGTTCTAAAGGCCCTGGAAATAGGAAACGGCAAAGGCATCAACAGATCAGAGATTTAGATACATATTCTTGTGGGATAAAAAGCAGGTAATATCATACAGAGGACAGTCAAGCATTTTTGTTTAACAATCTTAAACACATCAAAAGACTTATCATATTGGGGCAAGTCTGCTATAACGGACTTCCCTAAAGTGCTGAAGAGCAAGGAAATTCGTTTAAATACTAAGTAAGGCACACCTAGTTCAAGTAATGGTGTTTTCACTTGTATGCCTCTGAAGGTTGTCCAATGAATAAGGATGACAGAAGAATTGATGCCTTTTAGTTGTGGTGTTGGCGAATAGTACTGAATATCCCATGGGTTACCAAAAAAACAAACGACTATATCTTGGAGCACATGTGCCTAAGAAACAAGGGCTGTAGAACTTTTCTCACAACCTTTTGTTTGGCATGCTATGAGGATGGGTCTGTCACACTTCAAA